TTCAAATGATACTGATGAAGAGGAGGAAGCTGCTGTTAGAACTGTTAACAGTATTCCTCCCCTACCTCCTCCCCTTCCTCCTCCTCCTCCTCCTGATGCGTTTTCTGCAACGTGTAGTTCCCGTATCATTGCTCATTCCTCCTCTAATTCCAGCGCAAGCTACTTGCATTCACCAACCTATGGAGATAGTTCTGTATTGGGATCTGATGGGAAACTTTCTTCTGATAGTGTCTCACAAGCTGTACAAGATGTTTTGAAGGATCATCTCACAGAGGCCTCTTCCATTGTTCGAAGGGAATTAGGAGTTATTGCTGATGAGCGTTCAGAAAGGCATTCATCAGTAGATGAAGAAGAAGAAGGTGAAGAGTGTCCAAATTTTTCTATTTACTCAGCAACAAGCATGGACATAGCTAGAAGAACTGGAGATGATGATGATGATGACGACGACATTCCTATTCCCAAGGTTAGTACAAATTTTGAAATGGCAGAGGATACAAAAATTGACAGTGATATTGAGAAAGAAAATAAGAGTAGTCCAGGAGATGATAAAGATGAAAATAGTAATCTTAGCATTGGTGAAGAATTGATAAGCCATCGAGGAAAATGTGAAAGTTTTGACCTTGAAGGGAAAAAATCCAAATCTAATGCAAAACCTAAAGATGGTGAACTCTCTAACAAACGACCTGAAATCACTGTTGTGGGTGGAGAAGGACATAAGAATTGTGTAGTACGAAAAATGGCTGATGAGATCCGTGAACCAGAAGCCTCAGAAGAGCTTAAAAAATTAAGTTTAGTCGAAGAGATATTTGGATCAGATGATAACGACAGTCTTATCGGGGGAGTAACATCAGCAGTTACAGTGAACATTGCTCCTCAGGCCACTGTAACTCCACTGGGATTGGAAGGACTTGATACAGAGACCATATCAGAAACAGAAGAAGCCATAAACTTTGAAGATGACCTCAGTCAAGATGATGGATTCTTAACTGCAGAAGAAGATGGTGAAATTCCTTCTGTCAAAAGGAAAAAGAAGAAGAAAAACCGTAAACCTTCTCTTGGAGGCAGTGCGGGTGAAGAAGCTTCATCAGCCAAGGATCAGACTCTACAGGATATAATTGATTATGAAGAAGGTGAGATTGTTGATGACAGGCCAAAACAACATGAATCATTAAAGAAAGATAAAAAGATTTCAGAAAAGAAAGAAAAGCTGAAGTATGAGGACATACAAAGGATAGATGAGAATTTTGATGTTACAGCTAAATCCAAAATAGTGACTTCAGAAGAAGAGAAGAAAAAGAAAAAGAAGAAATCTAGTGGTGACAAGGCCAGAACATCAAAGGAGAAGACATTGCTAAGCATCAGTGAAAATAAAGAAAAAAACAAGGACAAATCCAATAAAGCAGATGAATCCAGTATAGCCTGGAAGAAGCTGTCAAAGAGTTCCAAAGAAAGAAATTATCGTGACCCAAAGTCAAAACCTGATGCTGATTCTTCAAAGGTAAAGGAAGTGGGTAAAAAGAAGGATACTGCAGGTAAAGATGGTGCTGGGAAGAAGGAAAAGAAAAAGAAAGAGAAGCGCAAAGACATGGAGAGGTATGATGTGCGTAAAATTGTTACTGATAAAAAGCGAAAACGCAGAGATGCTTTTGGTCGTGATTTATCTAGAGAACGATCATACACAAAGTCTCGTTCTAGGTCACGTGGAAGATCGTATGATAGGTCCCGAGGAAGGTCAAGGTCAATTTCTCGGTCCAGAGTCACTCGCTCTAAAGGTAGATCACCACTGAAATCAAGAATAAGATCACGTAGTAGGTCTAGGCTTTGTTCAAGAAGCCGATCTCGCATTAGGTCAAGAAGTCGATCGAAGACCAGGTCCAAAGTGAAGTCAAAGGAAAGATTACGGAAAAGTAGGTCTAAAGAGAAGCAACGCCCCAGGGTTAGTAGAAGTAGGAGTAGAGGAAGGAGGACTAGGTCTTGGAGTCGCAGCAGATCAAGAAACAGATCACACCTAAGATCACGAAGTAGATCCCCTGTACGATCCAGAGATAGAAGAGACCGAAGCAGAGAGCGGAGGGGCTCAGAAAGGTGTAGATATCGTGACAGAAGATCCTGGTCTCACTCATGGACTCCGTCTTGGTCACGATCCCATTCACTGTCTTGTTCCTCATATTCTCAGTCTCGTACTCCAACACCTAGACGATTTAATCGCTCCTATTCCCGTTCTTTCACACGGTCATGGTCACGAGAACAACATGAAAGAATTCCAGTTATTGAAAAAAAATCTGGAGCAATATCAAAGACAGCCAAGAAATTAACTGTGATTGTACCCAATACAAAGGACGATTCAGAAAGACATAGAAAGAAAGAAAAAAAGCGAAAGGAATCAAAGAAAAATAAAGATGCAGTTGCTCCTTTAGAAAAGCGAAAGAAAAGAAAGGAAAAATCTCCTGCTCCTTCAAAGGAAGTGTTCACTTCAGGAGACAACATTTTGGTCAGTGTTAACTTTAAATCTAATAAAACTACTGGTAGCAAAGATGTGTTAACTACTAGTGGTGCTGTTGCAGTTGCAGTCAAGGATCCTTCAAAAAGGAAGCAGATTGATGGCCCCTTTGAAATGGACAGAGAGTCAACAAAGAAACTCAGGAAAGATAAAGGTAACAAAGAGAAAGCTTCACCACATCAAAAAAATGGTGGTGCAGGTGGTGACAAAACTGTAGTTCGTTCTGGGGAGAAGAAATCCAAAAAGGGTGTACAGAAAGCTGGAAATAAAGCATCAAGAGTAGCAGCCCTTATTAACAAGAAACCTGTTGCTATTATAGATCTAGATCAGTCTCCTTTTCATGAGCAGACACCATCTCCAAGAGATCTCATAGTTTTGAGTGATAGTGAAGAGGATCATATAACCAAGGAGGGTAACAGGGAGGAATTAGCTGATTCACTGAGTAGCCGTAGAAGTATGAGACAAAACAGTTCCAGCCCAAAATCATCTTCAAAACAAGGTATTAATACTGCTCCGAGTGGTACGATAGCACGCACCCCTGAATCTCAGTCACCACCAGTGAATGCAATTGGTAGCTACCTTGTAACTAGTACAGGACCCAAAACTCCACCCGAACCACAAATCAAGTTCTCAATTGCAGCAAAACCACAGTTACGATCTATCAACAATCCATTGAGAGAGGATGAAGAGGACATGACTGAAGAGGTTGGTCTTGATGATTTGGATCAGAGGATAGAGGAGGAGCTGGATAGGGAACTTGACAGGGGATTGGGAGAGATGCTTCATAAAGGTCCAAACACACCCCCAGAACCACGTGGTCCAACCACACCATGTTCTCCACCTACTTCTCCTGATGCATATGATCCATTTGATCCTACAAAGTCAGGAACACCGTCTCCAGTGGGAGCTTGTGCCAGTATGGATGGCCCTCCCAGTCCTTCTCATACACCAACGGAGCAGTTAATACAGCACAGTGTAATAGATCAGGAATCTCCTGTAGTTAGTGATATAGAAGATCTAGCTAGTAAGTCTTTAGAAGCTAGAGTGACAACCCCAACAATAGCCTCTGCAGAAGAAGCAGCAGATCAGTCAAGTCAGTCTCCAGAAAGAGCAAAGCTGTCAGTTCGTGGTGATATGGCAAGCTCGCCTTCCATTGTTCCTGAAGCTGCATGTTTGCCACCTCCAGTTTCAAGTGATAATGAAATGTCTCAGCCCTCTGAAATGGCTGAAGGATCAGAGAAGTCAAAACAGATATCGGTGAATCTGCCTCCTTCAGGCCCATCAATTACTTCAACTGATCCTAATACTATTCAGTCACCGGAATGTAGTATTCCAGTAGTAATAACTTCACAACAAAATATACCGGGGACTCCAGTCAAACCTCAACATTTCCCCTCCACAAATGTGAAACAAGTAACTCAGCAGCAACCCATAACTTCCACACCAACACATTCTACAGCCCCTGCTCCAGTATTTCCCACTCTTACGCCAGCCAATATAGCAAGTATTCTATGTACACCACCTCCATCAACCTTACCTCTAAGTCGTATGACTTTGTTTAACCCTCCTGTCATGGCAGTTCCCCAACTGATGGTTCATCATCATCCACAGCAACAACAACAGCAACAGCAGCAGACACCACAGCATCATCTTATTGGTTCTCCCATTATTGTGCAGCAAAGGCCACTTCTCAGCATAGCAAGAACTACACCCGAAAGGCTGGTTCCTCCATTGTCAAAACTTCCACCAGTCAGATCAACAACAGTGCAGAATGGGGAGCAGACACAAACTTCACAAAAACAACCTCAAGATACAACAACAGATGTAGTGGACATGGATCTTGAGTCACCGTATTCACCTGGGTCCAGTGAAGGAGATGATCTGTTTGATCCTCCAGCAGACATTAAATCAAGTGGCACAGGCTCATCATTTACTGCCATGAGTAATGAACGGAATCGAACATTGCCACAGCCCGCTAAAAGCTCTAATAAACTCCCACTGCCGCTTGCAGCAGTGCTTCACAAATCACCTAGTAAGCCTCCTACCACTCAAGATAAATTTGATTCTGTATTTGGTCTTTCACCTCTGCGTGCCAACAAGATGACGCCTGCCCGAGCAACCGGACGATCAGCTGCCAAGGTACTTCATGTGAAGGGTAGCAAAATAAAGCAAGGAAAACATGACAGAAGCAAAAGTGAGTACAGTTCTTTATCCTTGTGGCCATCTTTTATTTATGTAGCAATTCGTGGATCTTTTGTAAAGTCGGTGTAGGTAAACTTTATTTGGTACAATTCGTGTTCACACCAGTTTGAAACTGAGAGATGCTATGTTACCATTATTTTAGAAAACACCATTGAGAAGGTCAGGAAGGATTAGAATTGAATGGGATGAGTCAGCTTGTGGTGTATACTGACATAAATTTATTGGGTGAACATAAGTGCCATAAAAAAGCAGAAAAACTCTTACGCACTGGTATGGAGCTTGGTCTAGAAATAAAGTGTAGGATGTTATTTATAAATTATGTTTTTGTATAAGTTTTCCCTGTATTCAGATAGGAGCATTCAGGAAAGTGTATGTTACAAGTTCTTTCCAGAACTTGTTTTTTATAATTATGTAACTATTTAGTATGTTACTTTGGATGTGGATACTGAAATGGGACCAATTAAATGTAGATTTAGACATGTTCATTGTCTAAAAATTGAGATGTTTTATTTTAGGAAGCGCAGTGCTGTGGTCAGTATCAGCAAAGTTTTTAAGGCCCAATGTAATAAATTATTAGTTTTTGAATGTCTTGTCTGTTTTCAGACAGTTGTTACTTTACTACTGTATCTCATTTTAAAATCTTAGCTTATGAATCAACATTGTTTGAAATCTCCTTTTACAGGTCTTTGGTCTAATGGTGCAGATATTGTCTATGTTTTAATACTTACAGTTTACCTTTTGTAGGTTGCAAAAAAGAAATTGCAATCAAGATGGATGAGGACCAACTACAAATTTTGGATGATTTGCCAAGCTCTGCGGTAGAATTGCAGGTGAAGGACAAGGTATATCGATTCTGAGGCATGCTTATGTTCTCTTGTACATGTTTCCCTTTGGCTCATACTTTGTAGTGTTCTGTAAGAAGTAACTTGCGGTGATTTGGTTATGTTGGTTTCATTTTAGGAATTTATAAAGAATGGAATTTTTAAAATTAAAGTTATTTTAGTTATTATTTAAGTCTTGAACTGAACTGTGAAGTATTCATTGTTAATATGTTACATAGAATCTGATATTCATAATTGACTGACTGACACATACACACATGCTCATGCACGCCCATGCGCACACAGAATGGTAAGATCTTATCACTCGATAAAATAATTCATAATCATCATGTTAATAATTGTTGACAGTGTGAGCTTGAGGTTAGTATTGAAACCTACCATGCCAGAATTAGCACTAGTGGTAGGAAGGAATTTATGAGGCAGTGGTGATGGGAAGCCAAATTTGGCTTCTGGGGCTAGCGATAATGATGTTGGTGACTGGGGAAGCGAGTTGAATCTGGGTCCACCAGTGGGTCAGGGGAAGATAGTTTATATTTCAGCGTATTTGAGGAATCAGGAGAAGGATAATAAAAGGACTACAATTTTTTTGACTCTTACAGTCTAGAAAATAAGGTTATTAAAGATGTGACCTTGGCCCAAAATTTGAGATATTGATGGTGACATTGAAAGAATGAGGAGTGGCAAAACAAGATCAACTCAGATAAAGTAACATATTGATATTTGAATTGGAAGAGAGGAAGGACAAGGGATGATTTGTAGGATTTCAGATTCTCAATAATGATTACAAAGTGGTTGTTTTCTGGTTTGTAGCGCCGTGTATTCTGGTGGAAGTTTACCAACATTTCAGAGGTAGTTGCTGCCTCCATCATCACAGCAGTGATGATGGAAGCAGGTAGTGCCTCTGAATCACTGATAAACTTCTACCAGACTACACAGCACTACAACCCAGAAGGCAGCCATTTTCATAATCATTGCTGTGAGAACCTCAAATCCAACTTGATCATAAATTGTATAATTAGGTATACATTTTTCATTTTATCGTTACTTTCAGTTCCTGAAAAAACTGAATCGACAAGAAAGGGTAGTGGAGGAGGTGAAATTGTCACTAAAACCGCACTACACAAAGAAGCACATTACAAAGGAAGAGTACAAAGATATTCTTCGACGTTCGGTTCCTAAGGTAAGCTGAAGTAATGTTTTTCGCATTGTATAGGGTGAGTACAAAGTAACTCTGCAACTGTCGAGGCATATTAAATGTTAACGTCATTGTATGTGCTGTACTCAGATTATCTAATTAATATTACACGGGTTTTTAAATCAGATGGCACCTCTGTAATGTTTAACATGCCTGTTATAAAATGGCAACATTGCATGTCAATTCTGTAAGTGGAATGCATTTGACTTAATGAAAGTGTCATGTTCTCATTACAAGGCAGTGTGCTACCAGAATATTTGAGCATCTTGCAGTGATGGTTTGTTCAGTATTCACTGGAAGATGTTGGGGATTTGTCCTGAAAATCTGCTCTATGTGGGAAAGCTAAAAGAAGGACGCACATCATATGAGAAAGAGCTGTATCAATGAAGATTGCAAAGCTGTCAGTCTTGGGAAACATTGCCCATTTTGATGCATTGCATATCAGGAAATGGTTGCATATGATGCTTTAGTTTATTATGCTTTCATTTCTACAATTGTCATTGATTAGATGTGGATCACATTATTGAATCCAGAGACCAAGTGCCATACTACCCAATGAAAGCATTCTCATTTTCCACCACCAAAGAAATCTCATGTTGATGCATATGCAGGAAAAATTATGATCATAATTTTTTGAGATGTTGATTGCATCACCCTCGCACAGTTCATTCCCCTAAGGGAATTACCGTTGCAGGAATCAGCTGCCTAGTGGAAACGGAAAAATTAATTATGGCTTTGCATCATGAATGCCTGTATTTTTACAACAATAATTTTCACCATGACTGCTGCCATGATGCAAGACATTGAAGGCAGACAATGGGATGTTCAAGATGGTAATGGATGAGAGAATAAAAATAATTGAAGGACTTGTGTATTACCAAAAATTATGGTATACGCAAAGGACATCGATGATTGATTTTTTAACTCCTCAGTATCAAATACAATTAAAATCAATTTCCATTTTTGAGTTCTTGCATATGAACAGACAGACATGGTAAAGCTAATAGGTGTATTGTGAATGCACCTAAATTCAATACAGTAGATTCAGTTTCTGCAACTGTAAACTTGCCTCAAGTCATGGTTCTGTAATTACATTAAATTTGAATGTAATGACATTAAATATTTTTTGTCTTGAAAGTTGTAAAGTTTATCTCTGCTCAGCGTGTGTATGTAAAGTTTTTGTAGGTTTTTGGTTACTACCTTTTAGCTCAGGTTGCTGAAAATATGTGTGTATATTTTCCTCCAGATATGCCACAATAAATCTGGCGAAATCAATCCAATCAAGATCAGTTCTCTTGTTGAAGCTTACGTCAAGAAATACAGATATGCAAAAAAGAAAAATGCCATAGCAGGGAAGGGAAAAGTGTAAGTACAGTGCTTGAACTTAATCTAGATGAGTTACAAATGTAACTTTTTTTTATCCATGCCAAAAAGTGTAAATCAACTTCCATGTTTATTGAAATGTTTATGGGTAATCAGCCTTGCCAGGTGGTCATGAAACGCTGACATTTTGAGAATTGTCTTGGTTCTCATCATTAGGGATCTGATATATCTGTGAAGAGTTAACTGTTTGTCTCTGTTAAAGATGTTGGGTTGTAGCTGGATCCCATAGAGTGAATGAAACACATGATATTGGTGATAATGCAGGTAGAGTGTACTGCATACTACATATACTGTTTACAATATATGTGTCTGTAAATTACATATTTTTGAGTTGTCATTAAATCAAAGTACATGCTAAAATTACAGCCCGTAAATGGTTGTGGGAAATTTACATTTGGAAAGTGAATCAGTTCTCTCCCTCCTACCAACTATTAACTAACAACTTCCACGCAGTCGAGATGTACCTGAGAAGTTGGTAATCGCTTGGCTAGTAAGTAAATTCCATTGCTTTTACTTAATCTGAAGGTCCATTACTACGTTCACAAATGCTCACTACCAGTTCTTGTCATCTTCTGATAATTCCTCCTATTCATGATTAGGTCTTGTGAATGATCTCTTGTCTTTAGATTTTTCATCCACAATTTTTTTACAAGCTTTCCCCAAGCTCTTTATTTACTTGTGAATGCAGTTTTGATTTATTACTGTCATTTACAGATAATTGTAGTTTGTGGATGCGGGTTGCTACAGAACTTTTACCCAAATTTGGATACTTGTGATATCACTCCTGCTGTATGAGGCCATGCATAACTCACTGTGTCAAGAGATCTGGCTGCCTGTGTATTAGCTCTTCAAACCTTGTGGTCGACAAACGGGTGCCACTCCATTCAACTTAATCACTGCAGTCCTTTCCCATCCAGCAAGGTCACCAGAATTTTGTCACCTCCTGTCAACCACACGCTCTTCTACCATTGGATAACAGCCACTCCACCAATCAGCACCATTGAATTTATTATGCTACATACTGCCTGCCCTATATAAGGCCTTCAGAACTGGCTCCACCCCATACCCACCTTAAAAATGGCAACTACAGTTGTGACGAAATGTTGGTTAACACAGACAGTTGACACAGCTTTTGTTGAAAAGCCGAAGTCGTACATCGTAGTCTGTAAGGAGGGTAGGGTACATAAGCAAGCCCTTGTTAACATAATAATGAACCTTTGGGGAATTTTGTGATCAGTTGAGTATCAGATTTTTAAAAATGACTTTGTTGGCTAAATTATGAAACTTAGGTTGCCAGAAATAGAGTCTTGGAAAGTAACTTTTAACCAGTTGGTTGCCTTTCAAAAACCCGTATTTCAAGAATAAACATATTTTTATCACTGAAAAAATTGTTTTGTGGACAGTCTCAATTGTTATCACCCGCCTGGGGTCTCTAACCTTATGCATGTCTAATTGCCAGGGGTCTCCACTGTTTTAGACATGTGTGCATACAGTATGTCCTGGACGAAGTACGCAAACTGAAAGAGATGATAAATGGAATAATTTTGAATAACAAATATTGTATGAGTTCTTCAAGTTGCGTGGTATAGACGAGGTATGCGGGGTTTAAATTTGTCTTTCCACAGGTGTAGAACACCACTTGAATGGCTTATCACTTACGGGTTAAAGAAACTATGCAGTCCAGTGCCAAACGGATTACACGCTGGATCTTGGTGCTTACTCATTGAGACACATTTAAACCTTAACCTTTGACTCATATTTTTGTCTTTGTTCTTTCAGAAACAAAACAACAATGTGGAGCTGATCCTAGTATGGCAGATTTTGGTAAGTAGGTCTTCATCATCCTCACTCAGTTCTACTATGAAGAATTTTCTACTTCTTACCTTGCACCTGTTCAGCAATTTACAGACAGCAAGTGATTAAAAAGTCTGCAGAGATGTTACTTCACAGAATTTGTACATAAAAGAAAATAAAAATAGTACTAAATTTTCTTTGGCTGTATTAAGATACATATATCATTACATGGTCATGTGTCAGTATTTGATTTATAGTCTTTATAGGTATTACCGAAATGTACATAAAATCACAATATTAGTTAATATTAAATTCTTCATGTTTATGACTTATTCTGGGATTATTTTATACCGAGTTGACCACTTCAATGCAATGCAAGGGATGAAGTTGCCATCATGTAATTAACAAATGATTTGTGAATTTTGCTTATTGAATATTTATACATGAAACTGTGCTTTAAAAATGTTGATACTGACATTGTAATGGAAAATGAGAAAATTGACAAATGAGTCATTATCACATTTTGTCTCAACAAAAATTGTACGATTCCGTGCGGCTTGTTATTCTGTGGATAGGAAGTGTTTTCTTTTTCTTTATTTCCTCATGTCTGAAGTGCATCAGGTAGTGGTTTAGTGTCAAATTTAACACACTTTCAGTATAAATACCAGTTTAATTGTGGGTTGTAGAAATTATTGTGAAGAAACAAGTCATCGTGTCTTTGTTTTATATTTTTAACTCACAGTTAAATTAAACACTGTTAGAGAGCAAGAATCGTGTTGACCTGCGGAGATTTTGAAGAGAGACATAATCTTACATTAAGAATGCAGCAGGACTGTATATTATAACGAATTGTGAATTTGTGTGATGGTTACTGTTCTTTTATTTTCCAACACATACTTGTCCCGTTGGAAGTACAGACTTTTGCAAAATACCAGTCATTTTGGAATGGGGGAAATGTAGATATTTACTGAAGACATTGTGTTAAGTGTATGTAATTTCATTAAAAGAAGGTTTAGTGAACGTATCCTAAAGTTATTCTTAAATAATTCTTGCCATCCTTGTGACACCAAAGATCCACAAATCACTAACTTTTATAATTTTGTTGCACTTGTTTGTTTCTTAGTCACTAAACTGCATCAGATTGTGCTGCCATTACACTAGAAAATGTACAATATTTGCTCATATATTGTATTTTGTCTTGCAAGGAATTTATCTCGGTCATGAAACCCAAGAATTGGAAGGGGATCTCAGTGTAATACACTCCCAAGCTGAACTGTGTGTGTGGTAGGATTTATTATCTTTTAAAACTGCTCTACAGATTAATATTATTGCACAATGACTAATTCCTCTCCACCATTCATTAATTGATTTCAGAAACATTAAATTTTATGTACACAGAGTAATTCTTATTTATGTGTTTCACGAATTGTGTTTTACTCTTGAAAGGAAGCCAAAAGGTTCCTGTGTACATATAGTTTCATCAGTTTTTGTTAGTGAGAATGGAATTTGTTAGGAAATCAACTGAGGCAGAAGCGCATTTATGTATTAGATTCCAACATAATGGTGTCATAATGTTCAGAAAAGTTGCCCCTTGTATATAATACCAAAGCTCATCCCACAGGTTGCATTTTTTTTTTGTTAACTCTGTCTATCATATGACCCCAAAGGTTAATGTCAGGAGGTGTGAGATTGGGCAACTGAGGTGGCCACAAACCCAGTTCGTTTCATCCTGTACCTCAATCTGGGTAAGGGACAAACAAAAACTTTGCGTGCATTTTACGTATATTTTTTATTACATTCCATCACCAAAACACAGTTGTATGCAGCAATTTAAGTGCATTTTAAAACGTGACTTTGAGTGTTAAATAATTGATAAGCAAATTAACTTCAATATAATAAACACACATTTTAATGACATTCATGTATAGCCTCGATTACACAATCCTCGATTGGGCCACATATTGTTATGAATTTTAATAAAACATATGATAGAAATAAAATATATCCACATCAAGCCTGTGTTCAAAGAGACAATTTCAGGGTTGTTCCAGAATCCATGCCCAAGTTCCTCGCCAGACTTCCTCACAGATTCTCTGTGGATATTGCGAAGCCCATCCTTTTATTTCCCGAATCAAATTTTGGGAGATAATGGTCAATGAAGAAATCTCCTATGTGATATACATTTGTTTCGTTGCAAGGAGAGAATCCGGAGTAACACACATCACCCTGTAACATAATACACTTAGTTAAGATACTAGTAAAACTATCTTGTCTGTTAGTTTATTCTTTTAGACGTGTTGCAGTAAGGAGACTACCCAGTTTGCAACTTAAGTAATGGACACACTGAACAACCATGAAGGAAAGTACAATATAATTCGTTTTGAAAAAAATAACCACAGTTGATAAACATGCTTTGTTTCTCCACGTACGTTTTTCAAGAATTCACAAGTTTAATGAATGTATAAGAATAAATTATTTTTTTGTTTGGCCTTAATAAGTTATTGCACCGCTTCTTTCCATGGCTGCTTTTCATCTAACATGTTTTATTATGGCTGGTTGTTCTGTTGTCTCGGACACTCGTGGAACTTTTTTAACCTGAATGCACGTCAACAACACCCATCCACCCTCTTTTGTATTTCTCATCATTTATACACATTTTTCCGAATTATGTAGACCAAGTTATCGGCACACTCAACAGTCTTAATTCTTCAGCAAATTTTGCTAGTTGTCTGAGAAAATTAGTTTTTTTTATTAATTTGTAGTTTATTTAACGATGCTGCCAGTAGCTCAGACTATAATATGTGTATAGTGTCAAATAATAGGCTGCGTGAAGAAAACTAATGAGTTAAAAATGTGGAAGGAAACAGCCTTGGTTTGATTTGTTACTGTCAGCATTTACCTAAAGGGACTGTGGAGAAGCACAAAAAATATGTAAAGAAAACCGGTCTCCGGGCCGAGATTTGATCCTGGAACTTACAGGAATAATGCCTTTAAAAAGTCCACGATCACTTCCTTCCATATCCCTTTCAATTAATTATTAATAATTCTACGCTATATAGTCTGAGCTACTGACAGCGTCGTTAAATAAAACACAAAGAATGGCCTTTTTTTGAAATTTCACACTAAATTAGTAGACTGTTAACATAAATCTTCCTATGTTGACATAGGCTTGTTAAGTCTGTAAATTGCTGGTTATAGGAAATTATGTGTACTTTAAAGACGGCCCAAATTCCAAATCTGGATGAAATATAGAAAATTAATAGAAAAACAAGGTAGTGTCCTGTTCAATTTAAGTTCCACGTTGTTCACTTGACCATCCCAATGACGTGCCAAGAGGAACAAGCGCAGGGACGTTAGAACTGATTCTGTTTACAGGATGGGTGGGAAGTAAGTAAGGCATTGAGAAATGGTTATAACCTCTATATTTCCAATGTATAGCGAAATGCATCAAGCAGATACAGCGTGTTCATGGGTGTACCAAATGAAACAAACGCAAATTAACTTGGCTTTAAAGTTCTACACTGTTTTTGAAGTTGTTCATTAAGCCTGTTTCGCATTTTTGTATTAAGGTTGCCGTGATTGAACCGGCGTAACGGTTGGACCACGGCAAATTTTATGTTATGTTGACAGCGCATGCGCGTTCAGGGTAGCGGAAGGGACTGCGAGTAAAGCACCATCTTGTTCCGTTTCAGTGTGGCACGTAAGAGGCCGATACGTTAGGCTACAAGATTTTTTGACATATTTGTTCTTATTTTTGGCGTACTGCTTTGCATTTATTTGTCATCACACTAAGTAAGTAGCCCTTTTTTGTTATGTAAAAGCGTTTTCTCTGCTAAAAATTTACTGTAGTGGTTTTCTTTGTTCTTAATTTACATGAAACTTAAGCGCTACAATACAACAAACATGACGTAAGTGTTGTCGATGGACCGCCGTCAAGGTTATTGAATGACCCGACGTTTTGTGTAGCTTACTGATGGAATCTTGCATTCTGTTCCTGAATGCCAGAGTTGCATATATTTGTCTGTAGGTTTTAAAACGGTTTCTCCTGCAATATTTATTACAGTGTTCTATAATATGTAATAAGTAGGGAGTTTGAAATAAATCTATTATAATCATGTCCCCCTTTTAAGGATTTAATTTTAAACTTGTGTTAGGCCTATAGGTTGTTAATAAGTACGGAAGTTTGAATTTTGAAGAATTCTTGAAGCACTTCGAAATGGTGATGGTGGTTTAGAAGAAGCCTAGAAAAGTAATATCGAGAAAGGGAATATCAAAAGTCTGTTCGATATCAAGCGGGTAGAGAGGACTGAATATTACAGGTGTCTGCTGTGACAGGTCTGGTATCTATGTAGGCGGGGCATTCCACTTAACAGACCAGTCACATCAACAAATAATTGTTCGTAAAGTGGTTGACACATTTTGTTGAAACTGCGAAACCTAATGACGGTCGAACGATTCTTCGCACACCAAAAACCCCCAAGCTGTGCAACTCGCACGAGGCAGTGGCATAATATTGCCGTCCATGCCAAGTCACACCACACGTAGGCACCAACGACTGGACGTGGCTTCGTCGGGGCTATTGAACTCCTACTACATCGTAGAAACAGGAGTGGTTACAGGCGAACCCGGGGCGATATAGTATCACTCGGGCCAAGTGGCAACGCTTTTCGGTTATGAGTACGGAAAAGCAGCTACTGTGGCAACATTGATTATTACAGTATGCGTAAAGCAGTTCTAAAGAACTAAGACAGTCGTCACTTACATTTTGTTGGACGTGGTATTCTGCACTGATGTTGAAATTTTTTTCGCCGATCCCAAAGATTACGTCTGGCACTAGACCAAGCTGACTGCAGTCAAACTGAAAGGGGAGAAATACCTTGTAATGTGACAACACATTCGTATTCAGATCCTGCATGAAACGTTCACTCTTCAAGCAGTTTTTTGATGCACTTGCCATTCTTATGCATTTTAGGATTTCGAAGGATCACAACAGAAAGGTACATTGTAGGTGCGTTTTGATAACCACTTATTGTGTTTCATTATGTTAGTTTGTATGCAAGCTACCTGACGATGTAGGTAAAATGGGTACTGTGGACTCATACTGATACGATGACATGAAGTTAGAGATAAAATTTAAGCCCCTGTTGGAAAGGGATAAACTAATTTTTAAGAACTGATGTGGAAAAGTAAAACGAAGTAATTAGTCACAAGTGTTGTAACTGGAACATAGGATCGAACCGCAGTTATATGCCTGTACTGAAAAATCCGACCTTTCAAAATTTTTGATTAAACCATTTCCGAAACAGTTATTATTACTTATTCTAGAGGTATCTGTATATAACGTCACAAACTTACACTATATTTATTACTTACCTGGCATATGTTTATGTCGCTTATGACCGTGTTTGTACATCCCAGTGCTTCGTTTATCTTGTTAATTTCTAAAGTTGGTCCAACGACGACGTTCTTGCTCGAGTCGATGAAAGCTATTGCGTCGGTTATGACGTCATCATTCCCGACTCTTAGGCTGTATAACAGACGACGTATGCAAGGAATTAGCTAATGAATTCGTTCTTCGCCCGGGTTCATCTTAAATCAAACTGTTCTACTGTAGTGATGTTAACTACAAGGAAGGATGTGATTGGATCGCACGTTCTTCATAAATTTTTCCTTAATACAACTCTCGTTGGGGGGGGAAGATACTCAAACCGCTAGTCGAATGAGGCTCGCCGATGTTCTGTAAGGCCCGTTTGTACTTATGCAAGAAAAATAGTTAGAACCTAAATGTTATAATTATTTCAAGTGAATAATTAACAAAATAAGAAATGACACACAAATATGGTTAATATTCTCCTTCTCACCCACCCCTAGGTCCCAAGTGGATTTTGCTATTAATGTTTTGTATGCATTTTGCATGTCGTCCATGCATGCTACACACACTTCTTATCTTACCTACATGATTTTATTACACTAATGTTTGGTGAAGAGTACAGATTTTGAAGTTTCTTATTGTGCACTTCTCCATCCTCATGTTACGTTCTGTCAGGTGTAAATAATTTGCTCAGCACTCTTTTATCAGACACCCTCAACATACATATTCTGAATTGAATGGTAGCAAGCATTCTCCGAATTTAACTGCTTTAAATTTATTCGTCCTTGTAGTTTTGATATGTCGTCAACGTCCAGATATATTTGAACTTTGTCAGTTTTCGAAGAATCCATTAGCTATCTGTATAGCATAGGCCTAATTTTGTCCTTCATTGTCTTGATGAGACAATAACATATATTTAATTAACTCTGCCTTTATTACTAGACCAGTGTCATTAATATTTTAGTGTTTTTTTTTCTGTATATAATCTGTATTAATTATCTCATCTTCGTGTTTCATTGCGCATCGAAATGTCACGTGACACATACAATTACTTTATTTTCGTTTTTCTCGCCATGAGTGGAACCTGATCAATGAGCTGATTGTTTATTTAATTAATAGTAAAAACATCATACTTACTACGCGTAAGTACGTGCGTACTTTAAACTTACAAGTCTAATTTGAAGTTCCATGTTGAGTCATCAACGAGGGGCACGCAAGTGAATTCTCCTGTATAATAACTTTCGATTACTCCTCCGAACGTGATTACTCCATAGTGGTCTCCGTTAGGAAGCCTGCAATCAGCCACACAGCGTCCGTTTTAGATTTTGTGTTACAAAAAATTTATGTAATGTGATGTTTATGCTTGTGTATGGGTGTGCGTGCACGTGTGTACATTGTCAGTCTTATAGGAAAGAATGAGGCTGCACGTGTATGTAAAAGGTAGTTACCGGCTATGCCTCAGACCTCTCTGATCTTGGTTTTTGACTGTATTTTTTTTTACCATTTTTGCTCCTATGCGGAGCATAGTGGCCTCCCTTTGGAGATTCCCTTGATCTATTTAGGCATTTGGTAGGACTCCTTGGACGAGTGTTGAGCCCGTCGCAGGGCCTCTGCCCATACACAGGACAGCACAACGCAGAAAGACGCGGACAAACATCCATGCCTTGAGTGGGATTCGAACCGACGGTCCCATTGTCCAAGTGCACGAGTCCCACGCCTCAGACCGCGCGGCGACTGTGACCAGCTTGTGCGTGAAATGTAAAGCTTGAAAAGGGCGTGATGTCGATAAATGTGGATAACCATAATAAACACGCAGAGACTTAAAAATTGTATGCTGTGTTTTGCCGTATGAAGTTCATCAGTTTACTCGTTTCCAGTACGACGTCTGGGCCGAAGACGTTGATAACAGTTTCGACACTCACCTGGCATGATGAATCGTGAAGACACATTCAATTTCGTGTAGATTGACGAATGTCTCGAACACTGTGGGCTGATTGAATGCAGCTTTTCCTGACCCAGGGCGGCCCAACCCCGCAACTCCGTCAGCCCCCAGGATGCAAATTTCTATTGAGATGTCTGTTGCCAGTACAAACCCTTGCTCCGGCGCATACAGTGAACTGATCTGAGACAAACATTACAAGCAGAATACTTAAGAGCTGCTGAAAAATTGACTGTAGTTACGGGTATCTTTCGTATTGATTTACGTCGCTGTGTTACTTTAATATTCTAATATTTCAAGGGTTAAAATTATATTCGAATTCATTGCAATTTTAGTATTTATTTTCGTGTTTCCAAGGTCACATTATGATCGGAAAAAATTAAACGATACTGAGTTCATGTATTTTAATTGACCGCCACTAAAAATAAATGCTACTAGAAAAAATGCACAAAATGGACGTCTTCTGGATTGTAGCGCTGTGTGATCTGGTAGTTTACCAACGTTTCAGAGGTCCTTGGTGCCTCCATCATCAAGCCGATCGCCCTGATGTTGGAGACTACACGGTGCTACAATCCAGAAGACAGCCATCTTCGTATTCACCGCCGTGAGAACCTCAAAACCTACTAAAACGCACAATACGAGGTGCGATCGGAAAGTTTCAAGACTGCGCGTATAAAAACCCGTACACTTATCTCAGGTATTAAATTCATCCATCACCCTCGAAGTAGTTCCCCTGGGAGTGAACACAACGAGCCCAGCGCCGCTGCCAAGCCTGGAAGCATCCCTGGAAATCTTTCTTTGTCAGCCTGTCAAGCACCATCTGCGATTCTGCCTGAATCTCTTCTATCGTCTCAAATCTCCTTCCCTTTAGCTGAATTTTCAACTTTGGGAAGAGGAAGAAGTCACACAG